TGATAAGTTTTTTAATCAAGGATGTTTTCTATTATACTTATATATCTATACTCACTTTTGGCAATTTTTTTTTTCTAATATAATACTATTTTAATTTAAATAATTTGAATGTTTTCTGAAAGAGAATACTCAATCATCTTGATAAAGGTCGAAATACATACAACTTTCTTTAATGTTTAGCTCCATATAAAATGGACTAAATGACTTTTTGGAATAAACTAACAATATTCAATTCAATATTCAATTCAAGTTTGTGAAGCAGTATGGATTGTCAAAGTGAACAGAAAATTATTTAAATATGAAAGTATTTAGTTATAAAATACGTTATAGAAGTAAAAATATCTGGTGTATATTAAATCCACTCTTATGCTTAACTCTGAAGAATTACCATTAAAAGTAATTCAGTTTTCGTTTAAACGTTAATAAAAAGATTCAGTATATCTGTTACAAGTGATTGGCCACCAATTTTATATCTGAAAAATTAATTGCTAGGATAAAGGTTCTTTATATTCTTGCATACCCTTATCTTACCATAGAATAATGCATTCAGAATAAATAGTATTTATTGCTTTTAATCTGAGATACTTATAATTCTAGAAAGGTATTTAATTGTTAATAAAATTTAACAACTTGTTTTGTTGTTATCAAATAATGGCATAATGGAGGAGTTAGCGAATCATGTACTAAGATGACTCAATGTGATGAACACTATATTCTTTCACATCATATAATAATAAAACAAATCTAAATACACAATCAGATTCTGTCATCTGCCAGTAACTAAATTCAAAATAGAAGATGAAATAAACTCTTAAAAAAATAAATTATGGATGTAGACTTCATATCAAATTGAGTTAAAAATGCATGTATTATATTTATGTATTTATGTATGTGTATACATAATATATATATATATATATAATATATAATATATATATATATATAATATATATATATATATATATATATATATATACAGTGTCCTCTAACTAGAGGGAAATATTTAAAAGACTGGTAGTAGACATCAAGATCAACAAGAAAAGTTTAAATAAACAATTGCCCAATTCCCTTCAGAAAATTAGGAAATTCATGATTATTATTTTTTAAGTGAGTCACGTTTTTTAATTAATTGACAGCTATAGCTACAAATATATTTAATTTAAGTAATTTACAACTACTTTGTAAACTAGATAAAATTTACTTCAAATGAAAGTAGAGTTTGTCAATGCTGAGACTAATTAAAAAGGACTTTTGAGCAGCTGTACTCATCTAAATTCCCTATTAAAGGCATCGTAAATTATTTGATTTTTTTTATCACCTTTAAATTATACTAAAGATACCTCACTTTTAGAAAAACTTCCTATTTTAATAAGCTTTAAGTCCTATTAAGTTGAAGTTTATTAGGAGATATTTTGAAGTTCACCTCAAGTTGTTTAAAAAAAAAAACTATGTGATTTTATATCCTGTCACTTAAAAATAACCACATTTTCAGCAAAAATTACTATAGTAAATTAATTAAAAACTATGATTTATTTATTTTTTTACATGATCTGTGACGTATTATAATAAATATAAATGCATAAGAACACTTTTTATTTATTAAAAAAAATGTGAAAAATAACGTTTTTTTTTTATATTTATCATCTTAAATGTTAATTAAACTGTGTTTTATGTCCAACACCTCTATTATAGATACTGATCCGTATGTTTAAGTGCCCAACTTAATGTTTCAAAGCCTAATATTTACGTTTTCCTGTAAATAATTTAATCAATAGGCAGGTTTCTTTATCTTAAACGTAAATATTAATGTTGTAAACATTTAGTTGGTGGCTTATCACTTAGGACCAATATCTATAATAGATATCAATATCTATTTTGGTTAAAACACGGTGTAATTATCACTTAAGATGATGACAATTATCAATATAAGATTTAATTTGAAAATGCTATTTTTTCCCATTCCAATGTTCCAAGAGTAAAATCTGTAATAAAATTTAAAAGAATATCCTTTCATATTCTAAGTGAGTAAACGTAATGATAAGTGCACTGAATAAGTGTGCAACTGAATAAGTGAATAAGTGCACTGAAACCTATGAAATATTGGGGAGAGGAGGAAATATACACCCACAAACTCTTTCCCCTCTCTCTTCCTCTTTCCTCTGGGGGCATTTTCGTGTTTAAAACCAAATAATATGTTTTTAATTTTTATTTAATCTATTAATAATAAAATATGAACAGTTTAAGGAAGAGTTATTCAATTAATCAGTTTCAATTTCCCAACTGAGACCCGTAACGTTTAATAGAGGTCCGTTGCGTGTACAGGTCCATATGTTCGACCCATCAACGATAAGATCTCAGTTGGAACCTGTAGTTACTATTATCGCAGTTATCGTTTATTAACAGTTTCAACGATCGACTATACGAGTACCATTGATTACCGTCGAAGGATAACATCTAAACATGCGAACGATAAATAACTGATGTACTTGAAGAGAAATAACACTTTTTAGTACAGTTGATTTATTAGCCTTTTAGTAAAAGGCTAAAAATCCTCTAAGGATTTTTTAGTTATAAATTTTGAATTGAATACTATTTTGTTCTATTTATTTTATTTTTTTTTACATATGGGGTGAATGTCATCCTACCTCACTATAACCAATGTCCAACAGACAGATTGTTATAATACTCAATAAAAAAAAAAAAAAAAAAAAAAATGAATACAGCTGCAAAAATGGTATTTCTTCGATGGATTGAAGGTAAGATAGAAAGAGATTGGTTGAGGATTTATAAGATTCAAGAGGAATCGTCCATTCTCGACTTAAATGTTATTTGTAAATAATGATAGAAAGCATAAGGAAGGGAGACTGATGTTCTATAGGATACACAGTCACATCAACTTGCGTAGAAACAAGTAACTCGACAAATTAACCAAGTTTGAACATTCTTAACTCAGCCTAATTTCTACATCTCTGCACTCACCCAAGGCACAAACAAATCCAGCCACCTGATGGAACATGGAGTGCCTATTCCAAACAGTTGTTGCTAGGAAATGAGGTACTTTAGTCGCGAACTGTCCCATTAATACCATCTTTTCACTTGAAGTCAGCGTAGCCTTCTTCTTATTAAAAATTGGCCATGATTTCCTCTCTTGCCAAAACCACCTCATCCATGTGCTCTCATTGCCTAATTGTCTACTATATGTTAATGGTACAATGGACGTTGACCACAAGAGAGATCGCTTAGTGCTAGGCCAAATCACACAAAATGGGAGCCCTGAGTACACTAAATTCCATCTTTATTTGCCAGCGCGTCACAATATGGCCCATCAGCCAAGGGCGGTCTTTGGCTACCTACAGTAACAACAATGTTTCAAAAGATATAGATGACTACTGAAACACATTTTACTGTACTCACAGTTATAATAGAACTGTAGTTGCATAAAAACAAGTAATAAATCTAAAACTTAAGAACTCAGGTTAGAATAACTTAGTAAACTTTAGGATAACGCCCTCTGATCTAGCTGTCATACTTATTAATAGATTTAAATTTTAATTATCAGTTAAGTATTAATTTTTTCATAAATACTTGAGGATCGGACAGTTCATGGTTCTTAAATCACATTTAATTTCAATAAAGCTTAGTTACCAGCGTACCGCGAAGTCTGGTGAGCCATTTATTCCTGCTGCTGCACAGAACAATCCAATTATTATCCAATAGAAGCTGGTGTCCCTCAAGGCAGCGTCTCTGAACCTGAATTGGAATAAACCTGCAAATTCATCTTTCCTTGATTGAGCAGTGGTGCAAGGATTGGTGTATTAGAGTAAATGAAACAAACTATAAGCGTATCACCTTCATGTTCCGACGCAATATTTTTTAACTCTATACCTCTTCCCTTCTCAGACATATTCTGGTACCTGGGCTTCCGTCTTAACAAGAGACTGACATGGGACCCTCATACCAGACTCAAAAGACAAGAACTTAATCGACAATTTGGACAATTATATAAACTACTGAACAGAAACTCACATTTTTCCATTGAAAATAAACTATTTGTCTATAAAACCTATTTGGACGTGTGGACTTGAACTGTGGGGGACAGCTAAATCTTCGAACATCAAACGAATCCAATCCTTTCAACGCAAAGTCCTTAGGACAATAGTCAACGTTCCATACTACGTCACAAACAAAACCTTACATCATGATCTTAACATCATTTCTTCTCGACGTAATTCCATCCAGATTCGTAAACTTCCATCAAAAATTTATCCATCATCTAATCCCTTAACACAATCCCTTTTCAGCTCCAACTATCCATATAATTCCCCACGAAGGTGGAAACGGCAATGGCCCGCGATCTTTTGTGAGTATTCTATTGGAGTTCTGGCAGTGGCCAGCTTCTCTACTCAAATCCTGAGCGTCTAAAGCGCTCTTACTCAGTTTCCACTTGCTTTCATACAGTGAAGGGGCTGGGAGAGAAGCGCTGGTAACTCTTAGAGCCCTGCCTTGTCTTTTTTTTTTAATTTTTTTTTCAAATCTTTACAGTGTATTCTTTTTCTTCTTTTTACAAGTATTTTTCTATTTATTTTGATGTATCTGTTTTTAGTCATGTTTTCTTCTTATTTTATTTTCTTCTTAGCTTGTATTTTAATTTGTAAATAATGAATGAATGTAAGCAGAGCCATAATATCAAATGCCCTTGATTGTGGTAAATTGTATTGTTACAATGTAAATAAATCTTTCAAGTACCCTTTAATATTAAAAAAAAAATATTGCTTATTTTCCGTCGTTTCTAAAATCTCATGATTTGAGTGCTAAAGACTGAACTGTCTATGATTTCGACCAAATTTCGAAGAGAGAATACTTCTTCAGGATAGAAGTTTACAGATCTGTCGCAGAATTTTCTTGTTGATTGGCAGTTTCTCTAGTAAGATTAGTTTCTTTTGTATTGTTTTTCAATGATTACTAACTTGACTACATTCGAATATTTAATTCTGTTACAGCCGCGAGAGTTGGAGAGGTGTGCTACAGTAACAACCACTGCAAGATGTGGGACCCCGAGTCCCAGTGCGACTTCCTCATCCCGAAGCTGTTCGGCAGGTGCTCTTGCAGGGGTAGGGCGAAGGGCGACCGCTGCCTTCCCCATCCCCACCAGAACCTCACTCCTCTCCGAGCAAAGCCCAAGCCTCAGATAGGTAAAATATACTAGATGTTTCAAACTATCTACTCTTTTTTTGAATTATAAGGTTATAATGGAAAAAATGACTAACGTAATTATAATTAATCCGATCAGCTACATCTTAGGTAGTGTAAAGTTAATTCTAGAGTCGACTCCTCCCGCTAACGTCGATGACGCATGCCCTTCTCCTAAGAAATTTTATCAATTCCCTCTTCTTAAAAGTAGTCCAAGGGAAAGTATTATTAGAAACATTGTAATTCATGCATAATTACTTTTGAGGTGGTCTGTTCCATGTTTTCCCTTGTTTCCTTAATTACTCCTCAAAAATATGGTTCCTACAAACATTTATTACCCCGTCAAGAAACGCCTCCTTCAAAAACATTAAGGGTGCAACTTGCACCACGTCACTCCTTCCGAGACAACCATTTTCAATATAGTATCAAATTTATATAACAAATGTTTATTTCTCAATATTGTAATTCAACTATTGACTATTGAACTATTGAATACAAACACAGCACTCAAGCAAGCACTTTGAAACATACAGGTCTTGTTTGGAGGAGAGGTGAAGAAGAAGGAGGACCTGTGTCCCTGGGTCTTCCGTGTACGTCAGATCGGCAGTGCGCACGCGCCGATCCCAATTCCAGGTGTAGAGGAGGACTTTGCGACTGCGCGATCACCAACTCAAGCTGCGGTGCAGCAGTGACTGGGTGCCATAAGGGAACTTTTCAGGTAACCTAAATATAATAATTTACTCATAGCTTTCAATTAGTATCCTTAACTTAAATCACTAACATTAAAGGAGCTCCTTCATTCAGCTGCTTTTCAGCCTTCTGATTTTGCAATGACGAATACGATATTGTTTAATATGTACTTGTCCATGTATTTAGTTTAACGCTCTTAGGTATATTAGGACAGGAAGAACTGGTTCCTCTACAATGAACTTACCGACCATTATGAAGAATTTAAGATTTACTTTAGGAATCTTCCACGATATATCATAAAAAATATATGGTCAGATTCGTTACCTATGCTAATCCAGTGTTCTGAGGTGCTTTTCCACCAAGGTCTCAATGTTTAATGATTCATTTAGAATAAAAAAAGTCTTCCGATTATCTCCTTCTCTATACCTAAAAATTTATAATTTGTAAAACGTTTATCCTAACGCGTGTGAAACTTACTTTGATGGAAAAACATTGCATTCTGTTATAATGGAATTGATATAACGTTGAATATTTGTTAGCGGAAGAATGGATCTTTTAAAGAATTCAGGAGACTACTTAACACAGGACTGCATATGGTCCATAAAAATCTGTATCACCACAACCCGTGAAGGGTCTTGGGTGCCAAATCCCCCAAAGCCCAACAGTGTGCAGAGAGGTGATTGGTCCGATATCAAGCTCAACCACCAGCTTTCCCCCCTTAAATAATTATTTAATTTAGAGTACCCTCTGTATAGAGTCCGGGTGTGCTCCAGGAGGGTCTTCCGACCCCTTGGTCGATCCATAGCTAATGAAAAATTACTAATCAACTGATTCGAACCTGGGACCTTGAGCTCTGGAGTTCTATGCTCACTCGCTGAGCTACCCCACTCCCTTATTATTATAAAATTAAAAAATCATCGGCATGGTACGGACATTTGAAGTTGTGAGGTTTAATGGTTATTGGTCGTCAACAAATTCTTAGCGCGTTATTTGGCACAAAAGCAACTTTTAAGTGTTAAAAGGTTATACGGAGAATAATTGGAAGCATTGTATCAATGTTGACTTGACTTGAAAGAGGTCGGTGAAAGAATCTTTGAAAACGTTTGGTTTGCTAAAATGTTTTTGTTGTTATTGTATGATTCAGGTTTTTCATTGTTCATTAGAAAGTATTGATTGTAGATTATTGTATTTTCTATCTATAATTTTAAAGATATCACCAATCTGTCTAACCACTTTCTGATCGGAAGGGAAGTGCGATAATGATAAGAGCGGAATAGAATAGATAATCATGGTTGAGCTAGAACAGTTGACCTACGAGGGAAATGCCACGGTTGATAAAATAGCCAACGCCGAACAAACAGGCCAGTGGATCGATAGCGATCTGCATGGTAATGCCATCTTAAATCTCCTGGCCAATCCGAGCTTAGGCAAATACAGCTCTCGAGGGAATCAAATATTCATCACCGGTCGTTCCCGCAGTTATCGAGTCCAAGCGGAGCCATGCCGTTCGTATCAATTAGATAAATTTGATGGAACCTATTGATTGTTTGTTTTACCACAGTCAACTTCACTCTAGAACAAGAACTGTCATCGATATTAATTCTCAATACGGATTACACACATTTCGAGAATATCAGCATGAGCAACTAATCAATAATAAATATAAAATTGCCACATGTTATTATTACTTGTTTATTTTGGGCTTAATGTCCTAATGGAAAGAGAAAAAGGATAGAGACAGAGAGTCACCTAAAGTTAAAAAACCTATACATGAGATATGAGGAAGTCGATATTTTATTAAATGCTATGAATGATTTTTTTTTTTTTCATAATCAAATAGATAGGTAATGGATAAACAATTATTTTCCTAAACTTGTCAATTAGCAGTCTAGCAAGCTTAGTATTTGCCTTCTCATTGCTGTACATTAACATGCATTACATTCATTGACGGGCGGTAATATACCTGGAGGCTTAACCAGGTGCTTGTATAATTATATAATAAATAAAATATTAGATTTCAGTTTCTGATTAAGATAAAAAGAGCAAGACGTGCCTTAGTTACAGAAGGCTCACGAGGAGGGAGCATCCTAGTTATTGGGGGCTAAGGAAAAGCTTGAAGTTGGAAAGCCTGAGATCTCTTTTATTGGAACTTTAATGGCACAGTTCTTAAATTAGTCAGGAAACATTAGGAGCCTGTAAATCGGGCCATTTAAAGATTTAATCCAAGTAAGAGGTCGTATCTGGGGTCACAAATAACCTTCGTGCAAAGCATCAAGCTATTCTCTAACGGCCAATTCGATCGAAGGGATTACTTTGTCCATTTACAGGTCTAAAGTAACCAATTCCTTATAGCTTGTGAAATTTCCTTCGCACCTGATAATGGAATTTCTTCAATAATCATTATGAGCGCACTTCCGATCCTAATTTTTAAGTACGCATAAAAAAAAGTGAATATTATGTTTATATCCTTGTTACTTCATTTCATAGCTTAATTATCATTTTATCAATCGATCAATTTTATCGTGTACAAAGTACATGGCTTATTTTTATACAAGCCAAGATATATAAAGTTTCACTAGTTACTTTAGTTATGTTATTCGGGCATTTTCTTCCACCCAGATCTACCTAAAAATTACTTCTATTTATTTATATAATTTAGATTTCTGATAATATTCCTTAATTGACTGAATGTTGTGAATGCCGGCAGTGCCGAGGGAGCGGAGAGTGCATCAGCTGGTACCTGGTCTGCGACGGACGGTCGGACTGCAGCGACGGCTCGGACGAGGAGTGCAGGTCGGGCCACTGCCCGAGGGCGGCCTTCAGGTGTGCAAGAAGTAGGCCACACATGTGCATCTCCGCTGGCCTCCGGTGCAACGGGGTCCCGGACTGCCCCGCCGGAGAGGATGAGGTCAACTGCAGGGACGTAGCCAACAGGGGTAGGTTGAGATGTCGCTATCAAAGTGTATATCTTGCATTCATTGTTCTGATGAAGAATCACAAATGAATTAAGAAACAGCAGTCGATATAAATTTTGAATTTATTCTTGACATCCATTACAAAACAAAACACACACACATTTTTATAATGAAAATAATAGCGTTCCAGACCAATATATGGGATGTCCCGATGATCTCAAATATAGTTCAACGAAATCACTTTGCACTTGTTACATTCATCATATCTAGTTATTTAAATTTTCTAAAATGTAATTAACTTTTATCAATAAACTGAGGATATATTTTTACTTTCACTCACGTAATATATAGTAAGGGTAAGTATTGCGATCTTGAAATTTTTTTATTCTGAGTTTTCAAAGGAAATACACGTTTCGAGGTACCCTGAGCCCAAATAACCAAGTTCTGAAAAATGGTCTGTGTGTCTGTGAGTGTGTGTGTATGTTAGCAGTCCAGCTCAAAAACGAAATGTCGTATGAAACTGATATCACATATTTAAGATAGGTATAGTCCTTAGATGTGATAGCAACATTTTCCTTAAAATCGGCTAACCGCAAGTGCCATTTTGTATAAACACATTTTTACAATTTTCTCAAAAACGGCTCTAACGATTTTGATTAAACTCGGTATATCATTGTATAATTAAGTGGTTTTTGATATCAATCAGGTCTTATCCACATTGACGTCACTTCACGGGGCTAAATGCCCAATGTTCATATACCTCTTCCTCTAAAGTACCTTTAATATGGTTTATTTTAAAAAGTTAATCATCTCACATTATTCAGAGTTACGAAAAAATGCTAAATACACCTTTTAAAAGAATTTGATAATTGAATAAAGGAGAAAAAAATAAAAATGCTTATCCAGGTCGAAAATACTGTTCAGAAGGTATACGTATAATATATCGTTGGAAAGCGAATTTTAGAAAAAAACAATATCTAATATAGAAAGTTGTAGAAGGTAACGAGAGAGTGGCAAAAAAATTATAAATAATAATTTTTGAAAACTAATAATATTTAACGTAAATCACATGTTTTCAAGGAAATTAAATGAAATTCCATTACTAAATGTAAACTTTTAAAATATTTTATAAGTTTGAAAAAAATATTTAAAATCCACCTAATCAAGGCAATGACATTGTTTAAAAAACTATTACATTTTAATTGTGTGAAAGAAGAAGTAAATTATAAAATCATTTCATGGATATATAAAGCATATGTTTATAACCCTAAATACATTTACTGTAGTTTAATAATTCTAGATCTGATATTATATTTAAATAATTAGGTATCAACGTCCGTTTATTCCAAAATATTTTTCATCTAACTTTTTAGAAAATTAAATTATTGTCTAATTTCATGAATATTCCCTTTGTGATATTCCAACAGTATCCACTACTTTTTCATTGTACTTGTGTGAAAGAAGATGTGAAATATAAAAATATTTCATAGATATGTTTATAACCTTAAATATATACTTACTGTAGTTTAATAACTCTAGATCTGATATTATATTTAAATATCTAGGTATCTATCATCCGTTTATTCCGAAAAATCATCATGTAACCTTTTAGAAAATTAAAGTAGTGAATAGTTGGACGAAATTTTCTTTTATGATATTCCAACAGTAGCCACTTACAATTAGTGTGACAACTTTTGACTTGTCTATGACAGACAATGCAAATATCTTAATTCCGTTTCAGTAAAATTTGCAATGGAAAATAACAGTTTAATAACGAATATTCGTACAATCTATTTATCAACCGATCTTACAATCCATAATCAACCATTGATATAATAAATAGAACTTTTGTTATTTTAATGGTATTTATGATTTGTTAGCTGCAATTTTTTAGCTTTAGCTCAGTTAAAAATGCAATTAAAAAGATTTATAATAGCCCAACATGGCCAGAAAATAATGTCTATTCAAAGTTGAGCGGTAAGTGAAAGTTGTGTGTTGCGCGCACCAGTTTTTGTTTATTCTGTTAGCATTACAGACCATGTAGATCTTTTGTCTTCTTAACAAGCCTGCTCCATATCAGCTTATCTTGGGCTATTTCTTTCCATTTATCTGCACGCAGCTCTATTGCATCTTTGTTGATTCTATCTACCCATCTGCTTTTTGGCCTTCCAATCTTTCAACACTTTTTTCTAGGGTGCTGGTTAGTGTCTAGTTCTCACTGCCCTAAATTAGAACTGGCTTTATCACAGCATGCATGGTATACCCATAATTTGAGATTTTTTGAAGTTTTTCGGATTTCGATATCATTAAAAGGGATTGACATATGGCTTATGGTATACGTTGAATTTATGCAGAAGATATATTGTGCTGAAATAAATACTGAAAAGAAAACTTACTTAGTATTTCTAGACAACTTACATAACTTTGTAGATACTATTCATTACAGTCTAGAACTATCGTTAATATTGCATTGTGCAGCCTTACTTAATGATGGAAGCAATCAGTCAATAGATGTTAACCTCACTTTCTGAAGTTAGTAGTTAACATTAGAAGTAGGTTGTCCAATTAACACCGCTCAGCTAACGCATACGAATTGAGTAGGATGTGTTTCGTTCAGTTAATTGCGTCACTTATTAGTCAACTATTAGACTTATACAATAGTCGTTAATAACCAGTTGTCAAGAACATCATTTCGTACTTTTCCTACGAACTGAAATATCTGGATTGGTGTATTTCTGTCGAACAGACTTATTGAAAATTATTGAAGTATCGCGCCAATGGAAAAAAAATTAAAAATCGATTATTTTTGCTATGAATCAAAAATGAAGTTTATACAAGGCAATGTTGTACCCCATCACTAATAGAAAATTCAGCCTAAAATCAAATCAACAATTTAAAATATCATTACTGGAATTAGAGTACTCAAGTATGGGGTTCAGTACCATTTGGTATAATAAAGTATGGGGTATCATTTATGAAACGAGAATAATTGCAAGCATTTTAAAGTCCTGAGAATACATCGTTTGATATAGAAGAGATCATATCTCGCCCAAATCCTTTAGTTAGATAGATAGATAAAAAATAACTTTATTCTGGAATAAAGTCCCTTTAGCATAACAAAATAGTAGTAAATCAAAAGATTACATCTGGCCTACACAAAAACTAAAACAAAAATAAAAGAAAGAGAAAAAGTAAAGAAAACAGAGCTATATAAAAAAACAAGTAAACCTATATACAAAATAAATAACCATATGTACAAAACAATTAAAACTATGACAAGACACTAAATACTTCGTACAGCCGTAAAACATAATAAATATACACTTTTACCAAAAAAAAAAAATAAAAAATGCATTAAGTTCTTTAAAATAAGTCCTGTATTTCTGAAAAAGATAAAAAAAAAAGCCGAATCTGCCAATATCAAATGCCTGAATATTTAAATGATGAATAACATAATGGGTGATGAATATTCACAATGACTGCGTCCTAACAATCGTCTTCCAATAATCATCGTAAAATCTAAAAGTTGAAGCCGGTATTCCTCAAGGTAGCGTCTTGGGCCCCGTCCTTTATATCCTTTTTACCGCCGATATCCCTGTCCATCCCAATACCTTCCTGGCAACATTTGCTGATGACACCGCCATCCTATCATCCAACTCAGGTTTCGAAATAGCATGTTTAAATCTTCAAAGGTACCTCTCCATGATTGAGCACTGGTGTAATAAATGCGACAAACAACATCAGCTTCACACTCCGCCGCAGATCCTGTCCATCAGTCCACTTTAATTCCGTTCAGCTTCCTTTTACAGACACAGTCCGGTATCTTGGCTTTATCTTAGACCGAAGACTAACGTGGAACCCACATACTACACTTAAAAGACAAGAACTTTACCGACGATACGGCCAATTATACAGACTACTGACCAGAAAATCTCAACTTTCAATTGACAACAAATTACTGATCTACAAGACAATCCTGAAACCCATTTGGACCTACGGACTTGAACTTTGGTGGACAGCAAAATTCTCTAACATCAAACGCATCCAATCCTTTCAATCCAAAGTCCTCCGAACAATAGTCGATGCTCCGTTCTATGTAACCAACAAAACCCTACATCATGACCTTAATATCCCATTTGTCCTTGACCTTATCCCTGAAAATTTTTCAAAATTCCATCAGAACCTTATCAATCATCCAAATCCCCTAAGCCCAATCCCTATCTAGTTCCACTCATCCCTACAACCCTCCTCGAAGGTTGAAGCGGCAGTGGCCCTGTTGGCAGAGATCTTTTATAGTATTTATTTTGGAGTTCTGGCAATGGCCATATTCTCCACTCAAGACATGAGTGTATGTGGCTTAAGCGCTCTCGCTCAAACTCCACCGGCTTTAATACCAGTGAGGCGGTTGAGAGAGTAGCGCAGGGATTTGGGTTCCCCGCCTGATTGTATATATTGTATATAGGTATGACTGTATTTTTATGTTTTTAATTTACTTATATTTAGGTTATTTTATTTTTTTATTGTATATAGTTTTTATTTATTATTATTTAGTTATTATTTTACTTTTGTTAATTTTGTTTCTTTTTGTATATACGGTGTGAATGTGTTCATTTATCAATATAATTATTGTCCCTGTGACAGAATATTATATGTCTAAATAAATAAATTAAAAAAAATAATAGTAAAAAAAAAATAATTCGATTATTTCGGCAAGTATTATTACTTTCCATAAAATTTGTTTCATATATTGTCCAGAGTAAAAGAGTAAAGGATCGTCAACTAGTGGTCAGATTTGTAGCTTAACATGTATTATATATGTTGTAGCTTAATACGTATGATTTGTAGCTTAATATATAATGTACATTACACTGTTATAAAAATGTTATTTAAATCCTTTGCAGGATGTCCGAGGGGAACGTTTAGGTGCAGAGACGGTACATGCGTCGGAGGACACGAGTTCTGCAACGCCATCTTGACCTGCCCGGACGGAAGCGACGAACCGGAAGGAGCTTGCACCGGAACTGGCCACAGCCACTACTGCCCTTTCAGGTGCGGCAACGGTCGGTGTAGGTCCACGGCCATCCTCTGTTCCGGAAGGGACGGCTGCGGAGACGGATCTGACGAGAAGAAATGCAGAGTGTGCCGTTAGTATATCTAAACTAGATAGATATAATTCTAGTTGTACGAATTCATAACGTAGGAACCAATATATAGTTTATCCGTAATATATATCCGTTGGAACAAAGACGTAAATATAAAATTTTGAAAAAATGTTTTGTCATGTTAAATTAGGAGTATCAAACTACGTTCAGCGGGCCGAAACCGGCCCATAAGCACCTCCTATTCGGTCAGAGAAAGTTTCTTTGATTATACGGTAAAATTTCAAAAACTACATACAAAATATGAAATTTAACCTCATCCATGACGTTATTACATTTATTGCATACGTTTTTTTCTCTTAGAAAACTCATTTCAGCGCTGAAGTGTCATTTTGTAGAATAAGATTTTTTTTTTCATCGCAAGCTATGGCCCGCGGCACAGGCAGATCTACGAGGGGGTCTTTCGAGCCTAAGTCCCTTTCCCCAAAATTCATATATCACATTTCATATATGTAGCAAGTATCTTTGTTTTTTTTCCAAAGTTATTATCATTATATATATATATATATATATATATATATATATATATATATATATATATACATATGAAAAAGCTTTTTGGCTGTAGCCCCACGCAAAATGAAATTCTGGATCCACTAGCGACCTGCTGGGCCAAAAAGTTTGGAGACCCTTGCATTAAACTGTCAAAAATATAGGTATAATCAAATCGACATCATAGTAGCAACATTCGAATAGATGTACAGATTTTACTCTGGTCCAATCAGTTTTAAAAATTACGTGATTTATGTAATAATAACTCTAATTTTTTTGCTCCTCCTATAAAATTGTATCATTTGTATTTTTCCACGTTAAAAGGTTATTGTCCCACAGATTGAGCTATGGGTACCAATTTTTAAAAGTTAATATTAAGTTTTATGGTGAACATTATTTGGGGTTTGAAATTTTTTTGTAACTCTTTTTAAATGCTCCATTTTAACAGTTTCTGTGAAACTTTTTGGGATAAAGTTATGGTAAATGCTTAACTTCTATTTATGTAAGTTCTAAAAAAGGGTACATAAAATGAGAAATAAACAGTAATTGGGTTTAGAATCGAGTTATACTTTATCTTAAATGAATTACAAGATTGTAATATGTCGTTCGCTTAAATAGAAAAAGGTAATTTTTTCCTCTAGTTTTTGACGAAAAGGCTTTTTTTTTTTTTATTGTAAAAGTTCTGTAAAGGCTTTACTTGAAAATTTATAAGGAAAAAGTTCTACTACTTACGAAATTACTTCTTTTAAGCAATCGGGCTACATGTGGTTTATCTACACCAGACTCGTTTAACATATTAATAAATAGACCGAATAACATTCATAAATTGGAGCGATACAATGGATGTTTTTTTTTGAAAAGCTGGATGCAAAGATTATAATTTCGTTAGAAAGTTACTTGTTCTCAGCTACGTTTTTGGCCGATGTTAATAATTTGATGAATAGGGGTCTGTATTACGGAATAGAGTTTGACAAGTTTATCTTTTGATCGTTGATAATTAAATGCAAAATGAGAAAAATAAAACCTAATTGCGACAAATGGCTCACAAGCTACAGAAGTTCAAGGAGAGAAGAAGTTATGCTTTGCCGACTAAGGATAGGACACTGCCAGTTTACACATGGCTACCTTGTGAGAGGTCTCGAAGCTCCCACATGTGTAAAATGTAATAACGTTCCACAAACAGTAAAACACTTACTGGAAGAATGTCCTAAATTTGAAAATTATAGACAAAAACAGGCTTAGCCAGAACAATAAAAGAAATCCTTCAAGATACTGAAGAAACAGTCAATACTTTGTTTGAATTTTTGAAGTTAATAGAATATTACAAAAGGATATAAATCAGAGTAAAACGCCAATGACCCTTGAGGGTAGAGGTACGAAAGAGAGAAAAAAAAATTAAAACATTGTTCTTCTTAGAGATAAAAAGAGGAAAAAAAAGATGTGATTGGTCCAGTTTTCCCAGAATGATCCCTCAGAATAAGGGAAGAACGGCATATATAATCCATCCCGAAGGAAAGTGTATTAACTCAAACGAGTGAATTTTTCAGGAGAGCGTTTTATAAATTTAATAATATTTTTTTTTTAGAAGCAGACAATCAGGTAAGAAGAAAAGAAATTCATGACACCTGCAAATGGATTTACTTTTAATTTAATATAATACGATTTTGGGGGGGGGGAAATTAACCTCTCTGACTATATTTTCAGTAAAAAAAAGGTTTTTTTTTTTTTGTTAGTTGTTACACTTTTGTGCGGAATGAACAATATATACTAGAACCATTCCTAAGACAATTTTTTTTTTTTTTACAACAATGAAAAGAATTAAACTGCAGATTTCAGAAGATATATAAAAAAAAAATCATGTTTCATTATAAACAGTTCGTTGGATATTATCAAACAAAGATAATAAAGAACTACATTGAGAAATAAATAAGTATGGCGGTTCATAACACCATTGCAAGCACAAAAGTTTAATTAAAATTCAAAGAAATAATATAATTAAAATTTACTGGTTTTATACAATATTAAAACTTGTATACATTTTTTAATATTTGTTATATGATTCATCTAGGTATAAACAGAAAAGAAATAAAAAATACTCAATTTATTCTTTTCAATATTTCTTTTGTTAAATAAAAATGCTTTTATAACCTGAAAAAATCTCTTAACGGCATCAATTATTCACGCTCATCATTTGAATAAATTGTAATATATATCACAATAGCTAGAAAGAGCAACGTGAATGAAGAGTTTTTTCCGTATTATAACTAATAAATTTATTGCCAGCTTTGGTATGATAAAACACAAAGTGTTAACAATATTATAAAAGTCAATTTTACCAATACTAAATATTCATACATTCGGAACCGATTACAATTTATTCAACTTATGAGCGTAAATAATTGAAGCTTTCAAGAGATGTTTTCAAGTTATAAAAACATATATATATATTCAATATAATTCATAAATATTACTTCTATACATTAGGAACAATTGGATGAGGTCCAAAAAAAGTACTGTATTATAGGCAATGCCAGACCGTCCATTTTAATGGGATTCTGCTGGGAATATGCCAGTTTTGATCCGTCTTCAAACAGTTTTCAATTTTGTTTTACAGCACAATTTAGTTCAATTTGTACTATTTTATATAGCTATACAGTTATTATATTTGTATATAAATAGGAATAATCCTTGAATGGTTTATAAAAATGTAACCTCTTTTACTACTAGCGTCGCACCAAATGCGAGACACAAGCGGAGTCTTGGTCTTGCGCAAGAGTCTCGCAAATGTCTTGCAGTTATTTATTTCTACAGATATATTACTGTAATATTTCAGATAGGGAAAACATAACTAAGCCCGAATGAAAAATTGGAAGAGTTAAATGCAAAACCATATTGTTATTCCCATTCTTTACTTATAGTAACTAAAATTATCAAGTATTAGCCACTATTTGCCTTAATTGTTTTTCACAAAAACGATGTTTTTTACCAGTCTTGGTCTTGGTCTTGGTCTTGCCAATTCGACAGATGTACAGTGATTATAAATAAATAAAATAAAGAAAGTTACAAACAAAAGCTTAATTGTATACAAAATAAAATCACGATAATGTATAAATACTTTTGAAATTGTATGTATGCATTATTAATAATTATTCAATATCACCATTTTAGTTGTAATTTTAAAAGATTTTTTTCTTTTCAGGATGTCCTAAAGTTTGAGATCTCCACCCGCTGAAGAGGAAAAAAAACTCGTAATTATTTATAAGTGTAATTTAAGTTTTATATTTATTATCAATCAATAAAACCAAAAATCTTTTCCAATATTTTATTTTTGTGAACGCCCTATTCTCTCAAATCTGGTAAATGATTTAAAATATTATAAATCGCTTTAACGATTCCTTATATCAATTTTATGCGATCAGTTTACGAACGTCATAAATAACTCGAGTGATTGTGGCAAATTTAATTGTTATGATGTACACATTTTTTTTAGGAAGACTCGTCACTAAAGACTTGTAATTATTGTATATATATATATATATATATATATATATATATCAGCACAAAGGTTTGTATGTAAAAGAAATAAAATATTTAATTAATTTAAATTTCAGAAATTAATTGTTCATTAATCTTGTTAAGATAACATCCACAAGAATAAAGCAATGGACATTCAGTTTATTTTTACAACGGTAAATCAAAGCATTAGTTACCATTATTGTTTACTAATTTAATTTAATGTTGAACATGTGCCTTACAAAAGTATGTGTAACTGAATAATTAATTTTAATTTTAATACAATCAATTTAACTTTAAACAGTTTGGAGTGATAGGAGACTTCGAGTTATTTAAAATATTACTTAAAAATATTATATACACATATAACTTTTATATTATAGATTATGTTATATGTAATTTATAATACACATAGCCTTCACAACATTAAATGAGGATTGGGACTTACTCTATTGCAACGAATGTGTTACTTAATTACCATCCGTGCCATCGCGATCTGTTTGAGTGCGCGTGTTCGCTCCTCATAACTATAATAGGTTAATTAAGATGGATATTTTTTTATTTTACTGCTTTGCGAGGCAGAGGACAAACATGCATCAGCACGACTTTTACATAATTCATTGCGTTTTAAAAAAGGTATTCATCAATAAAATATTAACTGACTTTTTTTTCTACAGGCATCGCTAGGATAGACTGGTATGTTTTTTATCTAGGCAGAACAATACCATAAAAAATAGGTTAATTTCGTTAAAATAATCGGTATTTTCAGGTGTTTTTTAGCTATACGCCTTCATTAGTCTCCAACTTACATAGGTGGTTTCTAAAATTTATTTGTGGATTGATTTGGTGTAGCTCAACTGTCTTTTGGGGACTTCGACTCCCCTCCTCCTTTAAACTATTTCTTAATTTAGTTAGGGGATTGGTGTTTTTACTTTCATTTACCTATTTATGAAATAAATAATTACGGAAAGTATTGCGATCGTGAAAATTTCGAAACGAAAAGTTTTCAACGTATATACACGTTTTGAGGTTTCCTGAATCCAAATAATCAAGTTTTGCTAAATGGTCTGTGTGTGTATATATGTGTGAGAAGAGCCTAGCTCAAAAACGTAAAGTCGTACGAAACTAAAATTACATATTCAACGTAGGTATGTTACAGCAACATTTTCGCTTAAATCCAATAACTGGAAGTGGCACTTTATATCATGGATTTTACACAACTTTCTCAAAAAATGGCTTTTATGGTTTTGATTAAATCAAATCAAAGTTTTTTTTTAATATTAGATAGGTATTATTATATGGATTAAATGGGGAATTTTTAAAATTTCTTCCTCTTTTACCTTTGATTTTTTTTTTTAATAATTAATCACTTCACAACAATAAACAAGAATAAAAAAAAAAAAAGGTATACAAAAACTATGAAAGAAATTGATAATTAAATAAAGGAGAAATAAGAGATGGTAATAGAGAACCGAAGAAATCCGAGCTTGGCCGAAAGGTTAGAATAGGCTTTCGAACGTAACACGTACTTAATATAATCAACTAACTGTTCAATTGATTTTAAAATTCTAATCAATTTCCTCACAAAAGCATTAAGGAAAGGATTACGTTTTTTTTTCAAATAAGTGAAAAAAATGAAAAAAGTTATGTAGTTCCGTTAACCTCCCTTTTTTTCTATTTATTATAATCCAATATTTTGCAAAAAATCAACTATAAATCACGTAATGTAACATTTTCTATTATAATCAAACACAAGACCTGATTTACTTTAGTGTTGCCCAAATGCGAGACCGAGACGAGTCTTGGTCTTGCAAACTCAGTCTTAGTCTTGCGCAAGAGTCTCGCAACAGTCTTGCTGTTACTTATTAGCTTATTACTATAGAGAAACCTAACTAAGCCTGATTTTTTTTTTTTTTCTACCCCCTAGGAATTTCTTGATTACAGATACAATATATATATAAATGGTATATATACATAAATTTTTCAATTTCCTTTTATTGCCCAAGGGCATTTTAAGGTAGGAGGGCTCTGCACGCTGTATGCGTTCTTTGCATCTGTGGCCAGAGGCCTTTTATATCACTGGGTGTGGAGGGACCGCCCTTAACCTTAGTTAATGAAAAATTAGAGGAGTTAAATGCAAAATTATATTGGATTATACCAATTATTAACCTATAGTAACTAAAATTGTCGAGTATTAGTAACTATTTTGCCTTTATTTTTATTTTAAAATCTTTTTTTTTTACCAGTCATAGTCTTGGTCTTATAACAGTTAGGCGACCTTTGTCTTACCGACAAGACCGATTTCGGGCAACACTAATTTACTTGTACATGCTTATATCAACAGTTAATTGATATAAGCTTTCAGCCCATATAATACATCAATAAGTAATTGATAATTCATCCAGAGAGAAACCAATGAGGATTTCCTTATATAAACGGTAATTCCTTCATGCCAAAAAAAAAAAATAATAATAAAACATCAACAGGAAATATTGGAGAAGGTAAAAATCATGTCGACGAATAAGCCGATCTTGACCTCACGACCTCCCGAATTCATATTCTTATCAAGTTTCGCTGTTTCCTGGTTGGTGTTTCCTTCTGTTTCGGCGATTGTATTTCAATAAAACTTCAATTTTGTTTTGGTAAAGAATGGGAGAACTACAATAATATTGCACGGCCATGTTAACATACTGTGCTGAGAGGATTCTCAACGAGTCTAAAACAATAGTTTCTGTCATGGTTTGTACCTACTTCCTTCCATCACCGAGTCTCCGTAAGAAATTATATTTGATACTACAAGAATTGTAGTAAGAGGTTTCCTACTGCCGTATCAGAGCCTGAGGTCAGAAAAATGACTGAGATAAGAAAATGTCTCTTCCTTTGTCTTTATCTTGAATACTTAGTCCTCATCGTTCGTTTCAAATCTGGTTGTTGGGTGTGCTATCAAGTGCTTCCTTTTCTGTAGCTGTACACGCTAAAATGTCAACGAACCTCGTTGAGCCTTCTGTATCCAGGAAATAAACTTCGAGGGAACACCTGTAGTTGCTTATTTCTAGGGTTTCCGATAGTTGTCTTAGAAATTATTGCACCGGCGTCTTACAAGGACTATCCTGTTAGGACATTTGCCCAATACATAAGCTGGAGTATTAGACTCTCTACCACATTTGCGCCAGAAGGATAATATTTACAAAACATCACCGAAAGTTTTATGAACTAATCGTGCCTGCCGCTTGTCCATAAAATCATCACTTTTTTTTTCCACCACAATTAAGTCATTTTGAGAAGATTTTATGTTCATTTGTATATATATTTTATTTTTTATGTTTTACTGGTTAAATACTTTTTAAATAATGTATATAATATTAAAATTTTTAGAAGTTAGTTTTTGGCCAGATTTGTACTTTACTTTGTATTAACTCATCATTGTTATTCTAAAGGGACTTAGTCCCAGAATAAAGTTTAATTTTCTAAAAAAAAAAAAACCTGAAAACCTAATTATCAGGGTCATCTCAATCCTTAGTAAGCAGTACAATACTATCTTATTTATTAAGGCAACACCATGTTCATTGTTACACGAGTCATTGGAGCTAAATAGTTAAACGATCAAAGCATGTACTCTTTTTAAATTGCAACGCATATACAGCTGCTAAATGTAAGCACATATTAAGAAAAAATGTTTATTTTTTATTTTTCATTTTATTGAAATTTACAACTGTATTACATGGAAAATACAATAAGTAAATGTGACATTGGTAACATGACATGTACAACATGAAGAGAAACTACCCATTGGTAGAACTCAAATTAAAGTTCTATACTAGAAGGACCCGAGGACATCTTCTTTTCAGACGCCTGGGAGGGTTAACAGGGATCGAGGAGGAAGCAAGGTTTGAAACGAGAGGATTCGAATGGTTCTGCAGTTTGTTATGGAAGGATAGGTTTGGGCCAAATCGGAAACATATGGAACA